AAGCCACATTTTGAAATTTTTCACAGAATTTAACATATGATCTTTCCGGCTACGCGCCCGGACTGCGCACGCAACTCGAGGCAACTAAAGGTGAGAATTTCAAGACCTCGGAAGTACGGAAAAAGAGAGAAATCCGGTGATGACCCTTTGGGTCGTCACAACCTACGAGGTCGCAGATGCGACTGGTCGACCGCAGAAGAGGAATAAGAGGGACATGTTGTTTCATAGAAGCGGATAGCTTCTCGCAGAAGTGTTGGAAGTTGCAGAAGCGAAGGGAATTCTCGCACCTGCGAGACCGCAAATGCGGCCAAGTGAGTCGCAGGTGCGAAAACACTGGACAGTATATAAGACGAAGGGTCCAAGACGTCTTCTCATTTTTGGACCTTTCAAGCATGGTTTGGGGCAATTTTTTAGCGAGATTTCACGTGAATTGTTGAGGTAACTCACCTATGATCATTTTTATTCAATAATATTGAATTATCATCGAATATTCCGACTAGATTACGTGGTTTTGTGGTGTAATTCGAAAATTTGGGGCTAGTGATTTGAAAATAAGATTCGAGGATTTGGAGGTCAAGTTGATGTCGGAATTTGGTAAAATTGGTATGGTTGGACTCATGGTTGAATGTGCTTTCATATTTTATAACTTTTGTCTGGTTCCGAGACGTGGACCCCACTATTGATTTTTTGTTGACTTTTTTTGGATTTTATTGTAAAATTTAGCATTTTCACATGGAATTGATTCCTATACCCCCGTGTTGATTGTATCGAATTATTTGTGACTAGATTCGAGGAGTTCGGAGGCCGAATCGCGAGGAAAAGGCTTATTGACATAAAGAATTTCACGGTTTGAGATAAGTAACACTTCTAAACTTGGTTCTCAGAGTATAAATTCTCGAATTACGTATTATATGATTGGTTTGGAGGTGACGCACATCTAGGTGTCGGGCGTGTGGGCGTACACCATAGAACTTGTGACCTAATTGATTTTGTGGAGTTGCATAAACAAATAATCTTGTACATATTCACATATCCTTCACGTGTTAGAGAAATTGAGCTGAGACTCATTTTAAAATCATGCTTAGGTCATGTGCCGATATTTTTGGGACCCACAGAGGTCGTATTACTATTGAATTACTTGTTTAAATTTACAATTATGAACTCAGTCACATATATCATTTGCATATCATATTTCAGTCTCTGTTGCCATTCATTGATACATCATATCATCATGTCAGACTGATTTTTGTGACATTTTGAGCCCGAGAGACTAGAGAGATTAATGAGTGATTGAGGCCGAGGGCCTGATGATATTTATGAGATCGGGATGCACGCGGCAACATATTTTTATTTATTTACATCTGGATTTTGCTTATTATAGTGCTTGGGCTAAAGGAGCCCCTCCTGAGTCTGCACCTCACATAGTGAGTGTAATGGATATTATATTTGGGATGGAGTTCCTTGGGCGTGGAATTTCCCTATACATTTATATTTGGGATGGAGTTCCCTGGGCTGGATTGGCCCTATACAATATTGAGCGACTAACCGTTAGTTGCTATTTATATTGAGGGATTAAATCTTCCCCGGGGGTGGACCTGCCCCGTACAGTACTGAGTGATTGAGTACTCTGAGAGTGTGAGTACGCGAGGCTTCCAAGATAGTGTACCATACACAGCATGTACATTGGCATGTAGATATAGATATGTTATATTCCTCATATCATTCAGAGTTGATTCATTTTTCTTGTATTGGGTTTATTTGTTGAACTTGAAAACATGCCTACATTTCTGTACTGTTATTTCTATATTGAACTGTACTTGTTGAGCTCGTCACTACTTTCAGCCCAAAGGTTAGTCTTGTTATTTATTGAGTACATTGGGTCGGTTGTACTCATACTACACTCTGCACTTCGTGTGCAGATCCAGTTACTTTCGGATACGGCGACTGCTAGATTTTGGAGATTTATCTGTTGGAGACTATCGAATTAGCTGCTTGGCGACCGCAGACCTTGACTATCTCTTTCCTTTCAGTTATTCGCATTTTTCTATATTTCAAAACAATGTTCTTTTATCAGTCAGACTATGTTATCATTTAGATGCTCATGTACTTCGTGACACCGGATGTTTTGGAGTGTATTGTATGGAGACTCAGTATTTTGTGTCAGAAGTTGTGAGATTTTCTCTTAACTTTATTTATTATGTTTTAAACATAAAGAATTTTGTGATTTATTGAGGTTATCGGCTTGCCTAGTATTGAGATAGGCGCTATCACGACGGGTGAGATTTTGGGTCGTAACATATTGGTTCACCTGAACCTATAAACATTAACCTAGATACGCCCATGTCTCTAACAAAAGGGAATCCATATATATATATATATATATATATATATATATATATATATATATATATATATATATATATATATATATATACCCAAAGTTCGAATTTGAGACCTCTCGTTAAGGAAGAATGAATATTTATCACTCCACCACAATCCTTATTGGTAAGTTAGTTAAGGTTTTCTCCTGGAAAGTAACACTTCAATTTTCATCCATATTCTTCTTCCACAAAGTTCCTTGTCAGCTGGTAGACCAACTTAATTTACAAAAAGATAAGCAGAGATTAGTTTAAAAGAGGAAGTGATGTAACTAGAAGAGAATTGTTTAGTAAGAATTTCAACATTGTGTTACTGTCAGCTAAACAACTTATTTGCTTGCTGTGTTGGGTTTTCACCCACTACTACATCTAAACTAAGATTTTGTACGACTCTAGTTGCCACGTACCTGTGTTCATTCCCATGCAAAAACTAGACATTCACATTATCACATATTGTATACTCCATCAGAAAAGGATATAAGTTATAACTTGTATATACAGATCGATATTATAATAAAAAATTTAAACTGTAAATATTAGATTTTATTTCAACTTGAAAATGAGGATATACTGAGGATATATTCTCATTTTGGACTGCTCATAATAAAGTCAACACTATTAACTTTCAGATATAATAATCACGTCGTTAGGTGTATACTTAAGAGATAATTTTTCTAGGCAACTTGCTTCTTGAACAAGAACCCTTTCCCCTTGATGTCTGAACCTAACCTATCTGTTTTCCCAATTTTGTGGATACATCACAATTTTTGGTTGTAGAGTAAGAGTTGAGACAAGTCGCAAAGCAAAATGATTTTGCTCAAATAATGTGTTTAACTCGAAAATACGAGTAACAATTAAATTTGATTAGTTGTTTTAAAGATATGTGATTAGTTGCTCTGATGGTAAGCAACCCCCACTTCCAACCAAGAGATTGTGAGTTCGAGTCTCCCCAAGAGCAAGGTGGGAAGTTCTTGGAGGGAAGGATGCCGAGGGTCTATTTGGAAACAACCTCTCTACCCCAGGGTAGGGGTAAGGTCTGCGTACACACTACCCTCCCCAGACCCACTATGTGGGATTATACTGGATTTGTTGTTGTTGTTTTAAAGATATGTGATTTAGTTCAATACCAATTAATAATCAAGAAATATGAAGTATAAATGAAAGATAGAGGTGAATCAAACCAATGTTACTTAGCAGCAGTGATCTCGAGGTGGCTTAGGACATCAAAAACAATTAAGTAATAAAAATAAAGTAAGAACAATGGAGCTAAAGGACAATGCTGATGAAGAGTAGGCAAAAAGGTAGAAAGTATATTCTTTTCTCGGTGACGATAAGATGTCCTACAAATGATTGGGGTCCCCTTTATATAATAGGGGAGCCCTAAATAAGGAATATTCCTATTTACAGTAAGGAATATTCTTGGTACAACTGTCTAACCGCCTAGTACGGAATCGTACAATCATATTCCGGGATTTGCGCCATGACTTTGGGGACGTGGCAGAAATCTAACTTGTTCTGGTACAAATCCATAACGGTACTATTTCGAGGTCGAGCACACCCGACCTCGGTATGCATCATGCTTCGCCTTCGAACTCGGGTCTGGTCCCTCGAGCTCGAACTTGGTCTTACCCGGACTCGAATTTCGGACGACCTCTCAAATATCTAGATCGAAGACATTCGATCTCGACCATATACATAATGAAAGAAGTCATTTTTTCTATTAATGATTATATTTTTTCGTTGTGCCATTGTGCCCCGCATTTCTCCATTTTCAACATGCCCCAGGTTTCCATTATTGTCAATCTCATACTCTCTCCGTCTTATATTATTAATTGTGGTTACCAAAAATGGTTATCTCAAATTATTTGTCATTTTAGAAGTACAAGACAAAATTAATTTTTTTTCCTTTTTACCAACAACAACATACTCAATATTATCTCGCGGCATGGGGTTTGGAGCTGGATAGTGTGTACGCAAAACTTACCCCTACCTTTGTGAAGGTGGAGAGGTTGTTTCCAATAGATACTTTTTACCCATATTAATTTATCGTTAAAGACTACAAACACCCCAATTATGGATAACTTTGTTCAAATACCAATAAGTCAACCTTGTTTTCTTAAATACTTTATCATATTTTACAAAAATACAATCAATAATAATAGAGATGATACATAAATTGAGAAAATATTCAATGAAAAAAGATTAAATATTAAGACATGAATAAGGGTAAAATAGTCAAAGTTTCATCCTAATAAATTTTTCTTAAGAGGCGTGTACAAGAGAATCATGACAGATAATATAAGACGGGGGAGTAATTGTAACACCCCAAATTTTTTTTTATAATATTTGCATTCTTGATTGAGCATTTTTATAACGAGGAAATATTTTACGTTGCACTTCCTAAATGTGAAATGGTTAATATATGAAAAATTTCTTACTTTAGGTTGTGTTAATATTGGCAATGAAGTCCCATGGTGTTGCTATATGTAACACTTAATATTAGTTTGACTAGTTGTTATTAAATATAGTATATAACTAAGTTTTTGGATTTCCAACATTTTGTATTTATCTAAGATTATTTAGTAGTTGGGGAACATTTTATTTCATATCTATCCAAAAATAAAAAAATCCCCATTTGTTTTGGTTTATTCTTCAAGGAAAAAAGGAAGACCATCTTCCTATCTCTCTATATCTCTCTCTCTCTCCTCCATAGCACTGAATTTTTCTTGAAAAATTAGGGATTTACTACTAAATCAACAAGCAATTTTCGTTTTTGGGTGAAGATCAAGTTGTTCCTCTTGGTAAGTTTCTAAACTCATTTTTATACTAGATATATACTAGTATTTTATACATATCTTTTCGTACAGAGCTCCGATTTAAGTGATCTAGGACTTTCTGGAAAGGTATTTCATAACTCTACAACTCTTATGAAGGAACCAAAATCTAGTTTTGTTGGGATGTATCTGAAAAATGATCATGAAGTACAGGGCAGGTACTGCCCAGATTTTCAGTTTTTGAAATATTCCCTGTACTGCTGTTAGTAATTTTAGCATAACTTTCTGTACAAAATTGATATGGGGTGATTCAAGATGTTCTGAAATGGTAAGACATAGACCTACAACTTTTATGAAGACTATAAAGTCTAGTTTGTCCGTATAGATCTTCAAAACTGAGTCACAACTCGGAACAGTGAATCTGTCCAGAATTTTTGTTCAAACGTTTTCGGGTAATTTTCACCAATATCATGTTTAGTTTGACTTGTTAAATCACTGAACTTATGTAGATATTCGATTATGTATTTAAGGTATATAAATCCTTGAGAAATCAAAGGGGAAGTATTTGAGGAAGTGGACAGATTTGGGTTGTTTACGGCGTAGACGATTCGAACATCCCCAAGTTGTGATTGAATTGTGTTGTGGTAAAACACCGAGGTTTGTGTATAAACTTGTACTCTTTTTGCAGCTGGAATATTTTGGAAATAACTGGATATTTTATTTTTCTTGTCTTCAATTTATATTGTTATATTCGTATTATATCAAGTATTGTAAGATATTTGCTAAATCGCCCATTTGTGCGGATTGTTTGATCATTTTGCATTCTTGTTGGGACTTTGTCCTTCTTGTGGCAGTGACTTTGTCACTCATTTTGGCATGCCTCTTGATTCGAATCTTTTGCCATCTTGACTTTGGATTTGTAGTTCGTCTTGAATTATGGAACTTGTCCGTATCTAGTACGAACTAGGAAGCCATCTTTAATATGGTTCTTGATTCTCTTGTATATTGGGTTTTGACCCTACTTGATTTGGGGCTTCGGTCCATCTTGATATATGATTATGCTTAGTGTGATGGCATGACGTACATATTGGGCGGAAAAAAAAATGGATATTTGGTATACTCTCTTAGATTGATAGTATACACTTTCTAGACTCTTGAACATTGTTATTTAAATTGGGAAGCACTTCAAGGTTTGATATTGATATGTTTGATATATTTGTTCACTTATTTTAAATTATGTTAAATTGAGCTAACTACGACTGAGGAGGGGAATTGGAGAATTTAATGACTCCAAGCCTAAAGTTTATACACCACTAAGCTTTATGCTTAGCGATAGTTATTTTCTATCGTAGGTATTGTTTGGGATGAAATCTGAAGATGGCCATGATGAAGTAGTCTTTTTGGAGAACTTGGAGATCACATTTGCATATGCACCTTGGTTTTGCATAGTTTCGGGACGTGTACCTGATATACATGATATACTGATATATACATTAATATATATATGTCACATTATGTACGTTATTTGGAGGCTTGTTGGATTTTAAGACCAAAAATCTTGTAACTTAAATTTGGAAACTTATTTTGCTGTTTTTAGTGTGTGTGTCAATAACTCAAGTCTTGTCATATGCTGAATTTACACTTTGTCTTGTAAATATGTACAAAAGAGAAAACTAGTTTCCTTTTTATATACCCGATAGTTTAAAATTTTTGGATAATACAAACTTGCAGTGATGTTGAATGAAAGTATAAATTTGTTAGGAAGTTGCTTTAAATGTGTTGATTATTCAAAAAAAGGTTATATCACATTATGTTAACATTTTGACATTGTATTTTCATTTAAAAAAAAATTACGGTGTATTTTCAGAAAAAAATATATTGAACTTTGAACCTTTTTGCATGGGCCTATTTTCACTACTAAATTATTTTGAATATTTTTAATTAATATCTCTTTTAATATTTTGTAAGTAGGGAATTTGATTTGTTTCTTAAGTAGTAGCCTCCCAAAGGGGTTGCTACAGTAATACACAAGGATAACTATTCCGACATAACATTTTGCATTATTCCTTGTAACATTTGGTTTTGGGTATAAAATCTCTATTGTTAATACAACATTTGATATAGGATATATAAGTTTACATAACTAACACCAGCTAAACTTACACATGAGAACTTATATATATATTATTTCAGACGAGATAAAATGTAAATATTAGCAAGATTAAACTACTATTCCTCCTACCAAATTCAGCTTCCAGAATAAATAAGATGGCGGGGGAGTCGGAGTTTGAGACTAAGGAAGTTGGCTGTGATAACTATTCCACACAGCTTTTTTACTCATTAGGTCTTTAAACTCCCCATCTCTTATCCAACACAGCAAATATAATATGCAGAAAAGAAAAAGGAACATAAAGAAGAATAATATAATATGAGAATACAATATGATAGAAAGGCGAATTTCTTTTTACACCCGAATTCGAGCTCAAACTAAACCTCAACTCGTGACTTCAAACAATTAGCTGGTAAACAAAGCACCACTGAAAGGCCATTTGCACATATACAAGGCGTATCTAGCTAAAGATTTCATGCTGAAGGTATCAAATGCAGCTATATCTACTAGTAAAGCAACAAACTTTACTCAATGCCCCAGTTCTGAGGTAGAGTTGAACTCCTCAAATGGTAACGGTCAACTCTCTTTTCCTGTTAGATAAGTAAAACCAATTGTCCATTTTGCCAAATGTTGGCAAATAACCTTTGATGGCATGTTCAAGATTCACACTTGCTTCTTCTTAACACGGTATGGGTATTTTTGGTATATGCTTATGCTAGTCATAACCAGTGGAAGTGCCACAAGGCAGTATGGCGAAGGAGGTTTTCCATCAAAGATGTATTGGAGCAGAGCAGTGACAAGAAGCGCAGACACAATGATAAATCCCTGCGGCAAGCAGGATGAAATAACATTGTCAAGAGAAGTATGGTAATGGAACAGTTATAAAAAGTACAGCATGATATACTCATTAAGGTAGCACAAAACTAATTAATATGCCCTCATCTTAGTGTACAATTGTACATGATCTTGGCCAAAGGGCCGAGAAAGGTATATGGCCTCATCTCATTATAGGCCAGACAATTTTTTTTTCTAAAAATAGACCATATAATTAACTGTTCTGTTTCACCATGAACTACCAAGAGAATATGTTACGAGTTAGACAACAACAATAACAACCCAGCGTAATCCCACAAGTGGGGTCTGGGGAGGGTAATATGTACGCAGACCTTACCCCTACTCCGATGGGCAGGGAGGCTGTTTCCAGGAGACCCTCAGCTCAAGACAGCAACAAAAGACGATATATTAGTACTATCAATAGACTCATACTAAAGTAACATAAAATACATAACATAACATAGAATAACAGAGCAATATAGGAATTACGAGTTAGAAAATAGAAAATATTCTAGGACTCCATTTTGAGCGGGTATAGTAATGTACCAGAGCTACAAATGCTTCAAATAAATCAAGGGAAAACGCACAAAAACACCAAACTATAACAGAAAATATCAAGAATGTTTTTTCAAGCCTATTCAATTTCTGCACAGCTTCTAAATTAAAGCATAAGAAGTTCAGTGGACAGTTACCTTCCTTACACCACCGGCATACGAAGTCACAAGACCCACAAGAATTCCACCAACCGCATTTAAAATAACAGGGATCTGGAACAGAAGAAATAGAAGTATCACATAAAAATCATGAGTTTCACCTATATAGATCTGATTCCTTCCCCAAAATGATCAAAGGAAAAGAAAATGTAAATGACTAACTCATGAGACAATTTCTTTCCTCAACAAACCAATTTTGAATCTGTCCAGAGGATAAGAAGCATATGATAACGAAACATCGGCAAATTGATATAAGATATCCCTAAGTAGAAACTATAAATTTTTTGCCTCAGAAAACTTAATTAATATTCAGGGCGGTTCCTGTTTCTGGATGTCTAAGTATTTGCAATACCAATTTAGCCAGCCCCCCATGACATAAATGATAGAAAAAGAATCGTATATTGAAGAAACCAATTTACCAAAGTTAATGCAGTCCACCCGTAGAAGAATCCGTGCTGTCGAATAGCTTCTCAAGCAAAGGCTCCCAATAATATAATGGACATCTCAACAGTCATCGATCAGGTAAGATGAATGTTTCTTAACCTGTTATAGACAAGAAGCATATCAAAATGGAGGAAATGCAAAATACCCTTTCATAAAATAGCAGTGAGATGCCCATTGACACAAGGCAGAAGCCAGACCAGAGAGCCCAGATGCAACCAAAACTGGTACAATTCCATAGAATAAGATCTCGTCGGGGTTACTACTACTACTTGAAGCTTTGCTAGAGCCTTCACCAACACTTAATAGGACAGCTGCGATCGAGGATTAACAAGAAAAGAGCCCCAATTTGTTGAATGGAGATAAAGCATTTTGGGGGGCAATCAAGGCTCTCAGGACTCACCTGATACACAATTAGTGTACCTAACAAGACAGTTCGTCTCAAAAAAATTTGAGAAATTAAAAGAAAAACAAGAGTTGGTCTACACAGAGAGTCATAAAATTATAAATTAAAATGAAAAATATTGCAACCAACAGCTAAGTGAAGCAGTTGATGCAGAAGAAAAATTTCTATGAAAAAAAGAAAATGATGTAAAAGAACAGTTTATGTGGAAACAGAGAATGTTTACCACATCTGTTTGACATCCATGTCGAAATAATAAAATATTACTACCATATTAATTATGTACAATCTGAGAAACTAACAGCCTACGCAATCGCACTGTTGCCAAAGGTAACCAAAAGGTACACTTGTTCAATAATCTTTTCTAAGCAAGGACAAAGAAAAGCATATATATAATAATCAATTCAAAAAAACTTTCAACAACGTTCGGATCAAACATACTAACTTGCACAGTCACCTGGCAAAGCCTACCTCAATAATACAGTATGTAAGTAAACAAGGCTGTGAAGAACAGTTTTGTCTGGTTCAAGATTGAAAAGGTCAGTGAATCAAGATTTTTATATGAAATCTGCAATAAGCTGTTTTGTAGTGCATATATAGATAGCAGCAGGCAGCCCAGATGCAGTCAAAGAGCCAAATAAGGTCCACTCCCTGAACATTTTCTTCAAACTGCATGCCTTCTTTTGCCATGAGAAAAAGAGCACAAATAACCTGCAAAGTAAAAGTAATGTATGTAAGTAAACATGTGGAAAACAATGCAGAGAAGAAAGTAGAGAAATTTACCTTGACTACTTCACATGTCAAAACAGACCAAGTAACTATCACTTCACGCCTGTAGGAAGAACAGAACATGAAATATTGACGCGCGTCATAATGTATAAATCTTACCAAGGAATACAGGAGCATTTATCACCAAACAATTTATATGAAAGAATAAACACAATATTTCCTATATCAATATAGTAAAAAGTAGTAGTAAAATAGACATAATAAAAAGCATCTTTGAGACAATGAGGAAACAAGACAAAGGTGGAATCCAGTCAACCCGTAGGTGCTCTTAATTTGATATAGTATTATTTTTGCATGCAGTTTTGCTCGTCAAACCGTTCCATTTGATGTTACCATCCCTACCTGGACCTCTAGCTAAGGAGCTCCCCCCCCCCCCCCCCCCCCC